GCTTGCACCGGCCGTGGACCCGGGATGCGGGTGGGCACGCTAGAGGAGTGAACCCAGGCCCGCACGGCTGGCCGGGTAGGCACCTGAGCTGCAGATCCGCCAGGCCGGCTGCGGGCCTTGAATTCGCGCTGCTGGGCAGTTTCCGAGAAGACAGGGTCTTTCCCAGGAGGGGAGGTGGGGCTGGGGTGCCAGATGCGGGCTGGGTGCGTTCTCACTGCAGAACCTCCGTGAGAGGGCGCAGAGCAGCCTCTGTGCTGGCGGGCCTAGGAATTTGGGGTGTGGGGCGGAGATGGTGTGTGCCATGCTCTGTGGTCTCCTCAAGAACCCTCACCCCAGAGCGAGGGGCCCTGCTCCCCGCCCTTCACTGCACCCCCTTCCTCCCCCAGCACCACCGCCCCTGCCCCTGGAGTGCCCTATGACCTCTCCCCACACGGGGCACTGTCTGTTCGAGGTACTGAGGGTGCCAGCCCGAGGGTGGGGGGCTGTATCTAACCACTAAGGACGCCTGGAGCCTGTGTGGTTCCTGGTATGAAACCCCAGGCCATAATGCAGGGGTGCACAGAAACCCTTCAAAGAGGATTCCCTGCACGGCCCTCCCCGCCCGCACCTATAGGGCCGCTGCCACACCGGGCCACGCCTGGCCGAGGACCTGCTGGTCCCTCTCCTCCTGTCCCTGCAAGAGTGCACCGCCCACACTGCTGGGCATTTAGGGGGCCTTAGAAGAGCAGCTGGTGTTTTCCTGGGCAAATATTTGCTCTTTTGGGAAGATTTGAGTGCAAAGGCATGTAGGGTATGTTTTTTCTCTTGCCCTGGAGCTGGTGACTTGGATGCAAACTGAAGCCAAAGCAGTTTTTATAGAGAGCCGCAAAACGTCCCACATCCAAACATCACTGTTCCCCAAGCAAGGCAACACCACGGCGGGGACGGGGTGGAGGGGATCGCCCCTCCTGCTGGCGGTGGGGGGTTCCCATTTGCAGCCACATAGATGGACCTAGAGATTATCATACTGAGTGAAGTAAATCAGAGAAAGACAAGTATCATGTGATATCATTTATGTGTGGAATCTGAAAAATAACGCAAAGGCATTTATTTACAAAACAGAAGCAGACTCAGACATAGAAAACAAACTTAACGATTCCCAAAGGGGAGAGTGAATCGGGGGAGAGATAAGTTAGGAGTTTGGGATTAACAGATACACACCGCTGTATATAAAACAGATAAGCACTAAGGAATCACTGTGTAACACAGAGAACAATCTGCAATATCTTGTAATAACCTATAATGGAAAATAATCTGAAAAAAATACATGTAACTGAATTACTTTGCTGCACACCTGAAACTAACACAATATTGTAAATTGACCATAGTTCAATTTAAAAAGAGAGAAAAATGTCCTGGGTTCTAGAGCAACAGCCAGAGTGGGACAGAAGAATGAGATCTGGGGTCCCTCTGATGCTCCCGAGCCCTCAATATCTCTGTCCCCATCTCGTTCCCCTCCCCCCACCTTCTTTCCTCTCCTTCCCCTGTATCCTCCCCCCATCCCCCCCTCCCTCCCTGTTTCCTCCCTGTCCCCACACTGCCTCCAGAAAATGCTGATTCGCCAGTCCCCTCCTTGTCAGCTGAGATTCTGTGGGAGGAAGAACTTTCTCTTTCCCGCTTTATTAGTTAAAAGTGTTTATGTCACTAGAGACAAGCAGAGCCTCATTTGCGCGCTGGGCAACCACCTGTCAGTGTCTCTATTACACTTTGTGGCTGGAATTTTTCCCAGCGGGACTCCCTTTAAGCCCACTTCTGACTTTGCGCTGTGCACCCACGTTTGGGTGTCCTTACTGGGGTTCAGGTCTCTCCACCCAGCCCCCCATCCTCCCCTCGGGCTCCCTTCTCTCCACTGTACGTCTCACTTCCACCAGCAGCAGAGGGACTCCCAGTGGCCTCCAGATGTTTGCTGTTTGCTCAGCATCCCCCTCGCCCTGCGCCAGGTGGCCTGACTCCCTCCCTGCCTGCTTCTCTGACCACAAGGAGATGCCTGGGGCCCTGAGGGCGGAGGTCCTTGTGGGGAAGACAGACACTTGCTCTGCACCACCCCTTGGGGTGGGGGGGGCTCTGCCAGCCCTAGAGCAGCCCTTGGTAGGGCCAGCAAGAGAAGAGGGGTCTCTGGGGGATGCGGGATCCACCGCACTTTGGGGGTCAACAGGTGATGACAGGGCCCTGTCCTCACTGCTCCCAGCCCTCTGTGAGGCCATGGGGGACCCACATATCCAGGTTGGTCCACAGAACCTGGAACCGGGCCTCAGCCAATGCTAATTTAAATCATCCGCTGCTAACTGCTCCTGCAGCTCTGGCAGCTCTGAGTGAACATGATGAATTACCATATTTATGACTCTTGGTTGAAATATTTCCCCCAGGAGAAAGTGGCCCTTGCCTGTAGCCAGCATCACAGGCCCCCTCCCAGGAGCCCAGGGATGAACAGGGACCAGCTGGCTGCACTGAGGCCAGCAAGCTCTCAGCCCTGCCCGTTCCCACTCATTTCCCCGAGTTTTGGGGCCTGGACTCCAGCTCTCTTACTGAACATTTAGGGCCTTCCCCACGGCCATCCCCCACCTCCCCCTTCACAGCACAGATGGAGCCTCAGGGGACAGATCCCTGGCCCTGGGTGGGGGCACAGCCCTCCCCGCTGCTGGGGACCTTCACTCAGGAGAACGGGCCTCCCCCAGGGACGGGGTCCCCCTCACTCGGCCTAGACCTGTCCTCGTGCACAGAAGGGGTCCTGGCCTGGCCCTGCGCCGACCCCCTGGGTGTCCTGGGGACCGGCGGGGGCCGAGTGGCCCAGCTCCAGGCTGGGATCGGCCCTGCCCCCTCCCCCGGTGCCTGGACAAGTGACATCATGAACTCCAGAGCCCAGCTGGGGGAACCATTTCCTAGAACCCGGCTGGCCTCCCCTCCCCCGCCCAACAGATGGTCATCAGGGACCTGTTTACCTGGAGACGGAACGCCCCGCAGGGTTCCGAGCGGCCAGTGGTGACACAGAGGACCCTGGCCTCAGAGGCAGAGAGCTGTGGGGCCCTGGCAGCCATGGGGGGCCTGCTCCCTGCCCCCTGGGCCCCGTCCCCCCGGATGCT